CAACACAGCCACACAGAACTGTACGGTGCTGCGGCAGCATGCAATTTCGTACACCTGAAAATGCACCATGCCTTGATGCAAGGGGGTATCATTAAGACTTCATGGCACCCCCACATCTGTTAAAGGGCAATACTTTTTTTTTTTTTTCCCCTGCAGGTCAGGGAACGCATGAGATTAGCACACATCCCAAGCCACATGTGTGAAACTAGCCTTAGCCAGATGAAGACCCGATCTGACCAACCCCCTTTACTAAAAAAAATAAATTAATAATATTATATATATATATATATATATATATATATATATATATATATATATATATATATATATATATATATATACGTGTGCGTATATATATATATACGTATATATATGCGTATGTATACACACACACACATATGTATGTATACGTGTGCGTATGTATACGAGTGTATACGTATGTATGTATATATATATACACATACATACATATACACACATATATAATTTTTTTTTTTTTTTTCTCCATTCAGAGGCACTGATAGCTTTTGCTGCACCTCTTCTACCTGAGCTAGAAAGCAGATGGACAATGGAGATTTGCCAACACTCGTGCACTCAGATTCTGGTGCATGTTCACTTCAGCTTTGACATGAACTCTGGCAGCAGATTGGTTTCTATGCACAGCTGCACCATGCGGTTTTAGTAAAGAACTCCCAAAATGTTCAAGTCAGAGCTCATTTTTAGGAATCTCACTGCTCTCCTAAGGAGGGGGGTAATCTGCCTACAGCTACATGTTCATCCACCCCTCCCATGTCTGATTAGCCCCAATAAAGCCACCAGGAAGTCCCATTACTCTGGCAGATTTAGGTCTGTGTGCCATTTTAGTTTCCAGACTACGATGAGGACAGTCTGAGCTCTCAGTCCATTCCACGGTACTTAGCAACTGCAAATAACAAATGGAATGCCAGCCGGGGAGACCTCCAGCAGAGGAGACCTTCTAAACCTCCACAAAGACTCCGAGAGACATCCCAGTAATACTCAGCATTAGGCTCTGCCCTGTACACTGACTGATCACCTTTTGTTTGCATTGCTGGGGCTGGCACGTAGCCATGGAGTAGAGAGCAAACTTTTCCTCCCTCAAGTACGTCCTTCACAAGAGCCGGTCTGCCTCACTTCCGCAGCATATAGTAGTGTATCAGCTCTGAGTATTAGGCTGCTCTGTTGATCTGGACCCTAGTTGAGGCCAACATATTGAAGATGAAGGGGGCCTTGTACTGGGAGGGGGTACAAGCAGGGGCACACTGACAACTCATGGTGCCTCCGGGCAATAGGGGACCATGGGGCCCGTGTCCTTACCCAAACTCAAAAAAAAAATATGAAAAAAAAAAAAAAAAAAAAAAAAAAAAAATACCAGGGGCATCTCATGGGGCCCCCTACTGACCCCGGGCCCTCGGGCACTGCCCGAATTTCCAAATGGTCAGTCCGCCCCTGGTCCTATGGGATTTGGCTAACTGCCACTGATATCACCAGTGACACCAATATGGTGATCAGTGGTAATACTATACACTGTCACTGTACTAAGGATACTGGCTGGACTCGATTGAAGAATCACCTCGGGGACATCACTATTCCTTATGTCCTATGCAGGGGCGGACTGACAACTCATGGGGCCCCCAGGCAATAGGGGATCATGGGGCCCCTGTGTCCTTGCCCAAACTCAAAAAAGCCTATGAAAAAAAAAAAAAAAAAAAAAAAAAAAAAAAAAAAAGTACCAGGGGCATCTCATGGGGTTCCCTACTGACCCCGGGCCCGAGTGCAAATGTCTTTGCAACTGATGATGCCATTGGTTGAAAAGCTGAATCCTGGATCCACCTGAGTACAATATAGTGAGAAAAATGTAAAAAGGGAAACTACTGTCTTTAGTTTGAGGCAGTGAAGCATTCTCACGACACAGCAAGGCCTTGTACATACAAGCTTCAGCTTTTAGAAGTGCAGCAAAGAATTGGTCAAGCGTTCAGCAAGTGACTTTCAGGCTTTTAATGCAACCTTGAGGTTCAGTCTGAGAATATATAGACAGATTCAAAGTGAAATGTTGGCTGTCACTTCAAAGTACAGAGCAGGGTTTCTCAACCATTTTTTAGTCAGGGCATCCTTTAAAATTCTGGACAGTCCCTTGGCACCCTTCAAAAATTCTGGACAGTCAAACCCCATTCTAAAGTGGGGTGCCTCAAGACTTCCCATAATTTTAAAAGGGCACCCCATTCTAAAATGTCAATAGCTATTTTATATAATGCAGCAACATCCACACATGGAGGACAACCCAACATTAGAGGCAATTTATTTTTCCAAAGCAAATACACTTTTGCACACTGGTACTGACTAGTACGCCAAGGTTTCTCCTCTCCCTTAGTTTTTCTCCATCACTGAGCTAATGTGACCCCAGCACTGATGGAGAGGGGAAGGGGAGGGTCAAACTAGGCTGCTGTGCAGGCAGCTGACATCCTCCTTATCAACTGATGTCATTGATTGTCAGGATGCCGGTGGCTAGAAGGTCATAATGGTGCACAATGATAACCTGTGGCTTTGTGTAACTAAAAGGCAGGCGTGTTCCACCCGCTGGCTTGTATACAGGTTTTGGGCAATTTTTAGACATTTTGCCAAGGCACCCCTGAAGACACTTCAAGGCACCGTGGTTGAGAAAGGCTGCTGTATGGAACCACCCAACAATGAACTACAGTAACCACTTCCCATCCAGAAAACATCTATACATCCTGGTCGAGATGTGGTTATACCAGGATGATGGCTGCAGCAGCCCAGATCCTGGTGTCCTAAAGCCTGCAAGTGGCTTTCATGCCAGTGACCCAACCAATGTAACTATATGCGAGATTTAAAAACTGGTGCAGACAGAATCTGGTTCACTGTGCATAGTAACCAGTGTCTGACTTGGATCAAGCCTGCTTTTGTTGTGCAACGCCAGGGGTTTTATCATGACGCTCTACAGCCTTGGGCACTGCGTGGACCAGCCGCTGGCATTCTAACCACCACCTATGTTATTGGTTAAGGACATCGGGCACCTGCATCCTTGTTTGCCCTACTTCTACCTCTGTCAGTCAGCACTGGGGTCTCAGATGAGTGAGGGAGAGAAAACTGGGGGAGAAGAGAAACATTGGAATATTTAGTACCAGTGTGCAAAGATGTATTCGCTTTGTGATAATAAATCACCTCTCCAATTGGGTGTCCTACGAGTGTGGAAGCTGCTGTGATATGTAAACCATTATTTTTTTACATTTTAGAATGGGGCATCATGAAATGTGCAGAATTTTAATGCGTTACAAAACCCCGGACCCCGCAGTCACCATGTCCGCTCTCCCCGGACCCCGCAGTCACCCCGCTCTCCCCGCAGTCACTATACCCGCTCTCCCCCCACAGTCACCCCGCTCTCCCGGACCCAGTCACTATACCCGCTCTCCCCGGACCCCACAGTCATACCCGCTCCCGGACCCCACAGTCATATACCCGCTCTCCCCGGACCCCGCAGTCACTATACCCGCTCTCCCGGACCCCGCAGTCACTATACCCGCTCTCCCCGGGACCCCGCAGTCACTATACCCGCTCTCCCCGGACCCCGCAGTCACTATACCCGCTCTCCCCGGACCCCGCAGTCACTATACCCGCTCTCCCGGACCCCGCAGTCACTATACCCGCTCTCCCCGGACCCCGCAGTCACTATACCCGCTCTCCCCGGACCCCGCAGTCACTATATCCCGCTCTCCCCGGACCCCGCAGTCACTATACCGCTCTCCCCGGACCCCGCAGTCACTATACCCGCTCTCCCCGGACCCCGCAGTCACTATATCCGCTCTCCCCGGACCCCGCAGTCACTATATCCGCTCTCCCCGGACCCCGCAGTCACTATATCCGCTCTCCCCCGGACCCCGCAGTCACTATATTCGCTCTCCCACAGTACAAAACATGGAAATGCAAATTTTAGTAAATATAAACTGCTAAATACTCAGCAGTATATTGCCGTCTTGTGACTTCTAAGCCGTGTCCAGCTAAGCATGATTATTCTTGGAGTTTTCATTCTCCTCTGACTGTCCTATGAGGCTGCCTAAGCCATGACCCTCTGTCTGGACAGTGCTGATTGGCCCTGTGCACAGGCACCCCCCAAAAAAAACTTCTAGCCATACACACCAAACAGAGCATGTGCAGACTTCCCACTGCTACTCTGTACTATGGCAGATGGACTGGGGACAATAGAAGGAGGATCTGAAGACAAGTTTAACACAATACAGAGGATTAACCCCTTAGGTTCCACAGTGAGTATAACAAGTATGCTTTACTGCATATACAGACTCTTTTGTGGTTTTAGTAACGCTGTAAAGCGTGCTGCAAAAAAAAAAAAATAAAAGTTGAGAAATACTGGCAGAGACTGTCAGAAGTGACTAAGACCTGTACAGTTTGCATTTGATCCATTTCTGCGGCACTACATGCTTTTCTGCAGCGGTTTTTTTTTTCTTTTTACGTGTTTTCTTATGCCTTTTACTTTTTTTCTTGTTGCTAGGCAGATTAAAATGAAAAACGCATTACATGCTTTTCTGCAGCATTCCCACTGAAGTCTATAGAGTCAAAAGCGCAACTTTTTGCATTTAAAGTCCCTGACCCTTTCCAAAAAACTCATATGGTGAAAACACAAATGTAGTGCAAAACGCTGCGGAAAACGCTTAAGGTGTGAACCTAGGGTAAGGGTCCTTTCACACAGGCGGTCTGTTTTTCTTTGAAAATACAGGTTCTGATAAAAAAAAAAAAAAAAAAAAAACACACACAAACCACAACAACCCCCCCCACACCAGATTAGTTCCTCCAATCCTTAACCAAGATAAAAATGGACCGCAATTCCATTTACATCCGTTCCACTTTTTTTTTTTTTAAAAAAAACAGAATATGGATTTCTTCTGTTAGAAAAAAAAAAAAAAAAAAAACCCCAAAAAAAAAAACAAAAAACAAAAAAAAAAAAAAAAAAACCACACACGGATGTTAACAGATGCAGACATTAACCACTTCCCAACTGGCCGTTTTAAATAAACAGCTGGTGGCACTGCAGGGTCGGGTGGCCGTTTATAAACTGCTTCCCCGCACCCTGCTTGTGCGCGCAGCACCACAATCCCGTGCCAGCTGTGTCCTCCGAACACAGTGAAACACCGATCGCCGGACGGGACCTCTGTACGAGGTCCCAATCATGTGATCACTGATTGGCCAATCAGTGATCACATGCAAAGTAGTAAGCAAGATGTCACTTCTGACATCATTGCTTACTACGTGTGAAATCTGTGAATGATCACAGAGGTCACATGGTAGAAGGCTATTCACAACAGCCTTGTACCATGTGACAAGCTGTGACCAATCAGAGCTCACTCAGTAGTTCTCAATGGCTGCAAGAATGCAGACAGAGAGAAAGAGAAATGATTACTTTTACATCCTATATGGGTGTAAAAAGCAATCAGTGTAAAAAAAAAAAAAAAAATCTTCGCCCCCCCAAAAGTAGTACAGTGTCACACTGTACTGCTAGGGTGACCGTATAAAGAAAAATATAATATAAAAAAAAAAAAAAAGTTTAAAAATTAAAAAATTTTGGTTATAAAAACTAATTTGGCTTTTTTTTTTACTAAAAAGATAAACAGAATAAATTTTGGCCAAAACTTATGATGAAATATTATTTATTTGCAAAAACATTGTATAAAAAAACCACACACTTCAAAATTTTTGGACATTTTCATTTACATAGCAAAAAAAAATAAAAATCCCAGTGGTGAACCAAAAAATACCACCAAAATAAAGTTTTATCGGTCTCAAAAAAAAAAAAAAAAAAAAAAAAAAATGGTAAAAAATTCATATGGGTACAGTGTTGCATGACCGCGCAATTGTCATTCAAAGTGTGATAGCGCTGAAAGCTGAAAATTGCCCTGGACAGGAAGGGGGTAAAGTGTCCGGACAGGAAGTGATTAATGGATTTAAACATGATTGTCTGTTTACATCCGATAGTCCATAGAAATACATGGGTGTCAGTTTTTCATCTGTAAATGGACATAAAAAAAAAAAACGTGTAAAAGGACCCTTATGCAGATAGCCAATGCATATGAGAGGAGACAGAGGTCACTAGTGCTTTGGATAGAGGCTAGTAAACGATACAGAAGGACATGCCTTGTTCAATTTCCATTTTAGTGCTTTATAACCACTTGTTAGCAGCTGCAGTATTCCTAGCGGTTTACTTTTAGCTTTCCCATAGCCGGGTGCAGTTCTGTTGAAACAGCCCATAGGAAGCACAGGAGAAGCCGATTGTGAAGGCTCTCACGTTCCCCCCCAGCATATACATTTATAAACAGGGAGACTATAGTTCTGCTTAAAGAAAATGAGAACTGTATTGCCACTTCCTTTAAAATGCAGCAGGAAATTCTCATGATTGAAGTTGGGTTCTGCATGCACAAACCAAGGCTTTGTCTGCAGACTAATGTTTAACATGCATGAACTGCAGGGAGAAGGCGTTGTTGTCAGTTCACGTGTGATTTATTTACAGTGCATGGCAAGGCATTTTACAGCAAATCCTGCATGCAGCAGAACGCCATACATCTGTGCCGACAGGGTCCCTATAAATGTTGTATCACACACACCACCAAAAACACACAAAAAAAAAACCCCAAAACACAAAACAAAAAAAAAAAAACAAAAAACCCCAAAAACACAAAAAAACAAACAAAAAAAAACACCACAAACAAAAAACACAACCCACCCACACAAAAAACACAAAAAACACAAAACAAAAAAAAAAAAACAAAAACAAAAAAAAAAAAAAAAACAAAAAAAAACAAACACAAAAAAACCACCCAACAAACCAAACCACACACACAAAAAAAACACCACACAAAAAAAAACACAAACACACACAAACAAAAAACACAAAACACACACAACAAACACAACAACACAAAAAAAACACACACACACACACAAAAACAAAACAAAAAAACACACACAAAAACAAAAAACCCACACACACACACACAAAAACACACACACACACACAAAAAAAAACACACACACAACACACACACACCCCCACACATAAACACACACACACACACAAAAAAAACCCACACACACAAAAAAAAAACACACACACACACACAATACAACAACACACACACACACACAAAAAACACAAAAAAAAAAAAAAAAACACAACACAAAACACACACACAACCCACAATACACACACACACACACAACACACACACATACACACACACAAAATACAACAACACACACAGGTAGCCCAGCCGATGATTTCCAACGGAGATGAGAACTGTTTTGTTTACTAAACAGTTCTCCCTGACAGCCTAGGCACACCACTTTGGATGGCTATGAACAGCACAGCCATCCAAAGCAGTGTGATTACAGTGAAGCACACCAACAGCCCCCTAGTAAAACACTCCCAATCAGGGGCGGACTGACAACTCATGGGGCCCGTGTCCTTGCCCGAACTCAAAAAAAGCCTATGAAAATGGTACATGGGGCATCTCATGGGGCCCCCTACTGACCCCGGGCAGTGCCCGAGTTTCCAAATGGTCAGTCCGCCCCTGCTCACAATACAGTTAACCCTTTGATCACCCCTCATGTTAACCAATGCCTGCCCAGTGCCACCCAGTGCCATTAGTACAGTGTCAGTGTTTTTTTTTGTTTATTTTAGCACTGATCACTGTATTGGTATCACTGGGGATGTCAGTGACACCAAGTCAGTTCCCCCCAATGTCAGAATGCACGCCACAATCCCGCTACAACGCGTTGATCGCCGACGTTACTAGTAAAAATTAAAAAAAAAAAAAAAAAAAATTCCCAGTATCTATGCCGCCACACTATAACTTTCACGTAAATCAATTAATTTACATGTATTGGGATTTTCTTTAGCAAAGACATGAAGCAGAATACAATTTGGTGTAAATTTATGAAGAAATTTGTTTCACCGGACATGTTTAATAGCATAAAGTCAAATACTGTTTTTTCCAAAAAATTGCTTTTTTTTTTTTTGCAAAAAAAAAAAAAAAAAAAAAACACCAACACAATAAAAACTTAAATTGGGTGCAGCGTTGCATGACCGCGCTATCGTCAGGTCAGTTAAAGTAACGCAGCGTTGTAACACAAAAAAAAATGGCCTGGTCAGGAAGGGGTGGGAGGGGCAGGGGTAAATCCTCTGGAGGGCAAGTGGTTAATGAAGTGCCCCCCAAACATCACCGATCTCTAGCCTACAACTCTAATATGAACCTGGCAGGGCAGAGTGGACTGTACAGACTTGGGGCACACTCCAGGGCTGCCACCCGGATCACTACTTTGCTACCATGTGCCCTGGGACCAGCATGTAGGCCATGTACAGAACTTTCTTGCTGTATGCTTCTTCCAGTCAGTAACTCAAACAGCAAAACACAATCAGAATAATAGTCCCAGAGACAAAGTTAGCAATTGCAGCCCCTTCATGTTCCCCTACAACAGCGGTCACTAAATGGCAGACCGTGAACGGCCCCAGCAGTGACCACAATACCCAAAGGGGTTAAAGATATCATAGGCACCATTCAGGGCCAACGTCTGCGTTCGCACATAGACAACCCCTTCCATATCAGAGCGGCTGACCTGGAGATGTATGCAGCCAGTCCCTGCATGTGTACCGCAAATCAGTCACCCAAACGCACTGAGACGCCATTCCCACTTGCATGATGTCACACTCTCTGGATCAAAGTCGCATCAAAAGTAGCACAGGCACCTTTTCCAAGTCGCACCGATTTGAACAAGTGCTACTGAAAAGAACTGGCTGTGACTTGTCATGTGACTGATGTCCAAAGTCACAAGACAAATCGCACAGGTGGGAATGGAGCCTTAAACCGCAGAAGAAAAAAAAAAAAAACCCCTGCAAGGTAATGTCATAATATGCTAGCCGAGTACACACTGCATACATTATGTAGGACCGGACTTAAAATGAAGCCCTACAGCGGATTCTGGGTGCGTTCACGAGCTCCGGCCGTCTGACAGGCTAGGCTGCAATGACTTCATGTGATACCCCCCCCAGGGTGCAGGCACAGGGTCATGTGATACACACCCCCCCCCCCCCAGGGTGCAGGCACAGGGTCATGTGATACACACACCCCCCCCCAGGGTGCAGGCACAGGGTCATGTGATACACACCCCCCCCCCCAGGGTGCAGGCACAGGGTCATGTGATATACATCCCCCTCCAGGGTGCAGGCACAGGGTCATGTGATATACATCCCCCTCCAGGGTGCAGGCACAGGGTCATGTGATACACCCCCCCCCCCAGGGTGCAGGCACAGGGTCATGTGATACACCCCCCCCCCCCCAGGGTGCAGGCACAGGGTCATGTGATATACATCCCCCTCCAGGGTGCAGGCACAGGGTCATGTGATATACACACCCTCCAGGGTGCAGGCACAGGGTCATGTGATATACATCCCCCTCCAGGGTGCAGGCACAGGGTCATGTGATATACATCCCCCTCCAGGGTGCAGGCACAGGGGTCATGTGATACACACACCCCCAGGGTGCAGGCACAGGGTCATGTGATATACATCATCCCTCCAGGGTGCAGGCACAGGGTCATGTGATATACATCCCCCTCCAGGGTGCAGGCACAGGGTCATGTGATACACACCACCAGGGGTGCAGGCACAGGGTCATGTGATATACATCCCCCTCCAGGGTGCAGGCACAGGATCATGTGATATACATCCCCCTCCAGGGTGCAGGCACAGGATCATGTGATATACATCCCCCTCCAGGGTGCAGGCAGGGTCATGTGATACACACACCCCCAGGGTGCAGGCACAGGGTCATGTGATAACACATCCCCCTCCAGGGTGCAGGCACAGGGTCATGTGATACACACACCCCCAGGGTGCAGGCACAGGGTCATGTGATACATCCCCCTCCAGGGTGCAGGCACAGGGTCATGTGATACACACACCCCTCCAGGGTGCAGGCACAGGGTCATGTGATACATCCCCCTCCAGGGTGCAGGCACAGGGTCATGTGATGTATACCCCCCAGGGTGTACAGGGCCATGTGATATAGGATTCCCCCAGCACAGGTCACGTGTTGTGTCAGTGAAGTGAGTGACCTCCAGCTGTAGTTGGTGAAGTTCCCCTCCCCCTTCCCACTCCGGGCCCCTCACTCACAGCCGCCTCCTCTCCTGCGACCCATAAACTCTCCCCGCTACCCCATCCTCCAGTCACTGACCTGCTTCGGGCCGGGGCCCTGCCTCTCCTCTAGCCGGTACCGGGCAGACACAGCGAGCACCGGAAG